CAATTCCTGTGGAATCATAAGCGTCCACGTATTGCTTTTTCTCAACTGACTCTCCCCAAACTTAGAGGTGGAATTGGGCTCCCTGACCTTCACCGGTACTACTGGGCATGCCACCTTACACGCATAGTGGACTGGCATGTTCATTCTACCCTCTAAAGACTGGGTCTGCCTAGAAAATGCCTTCTCACCCTCACCCCTGACATCGATTCCATGGTTACTGCCAAAGCATACACCTCAAGAGCTCCTCACCCACCCTTTTAGTGGGGCCCAGCTTAAATATTCTCCGCCTGAACTGTAAAACGGTATCTATCTCTGAGTCACCGAATTCCTTAACCTCCATTCGTCTCAATCCTGACTTCCCCCCAGGCATGCACAAGTCATTCTTATCTGAGCATTGGCCACTGACCAGATCTTGGTTAAACACTTTATCTGCGATGGAAAAGTAATATCGTCCGCGAACTGCTTGATAGCCTAGATAGTCGAGATTTTCCTTTTTGGGCCTTTCTGCAGATAAGACACTTCCTGCTCTCACACAAACTGTTCCATAACTGGACTCGTCCCCTCACTCCTTTTGAATCCCTATGCTCTAGAGCTGAACCGCGCAAACATTTGATTTCGGAGATTTACCCTCTCCTTGTTGAGAGTAGGGATTATAATTCTTTACCCTCCTGCCGTGCTTGGAACAGAGACTTGGGAAACAGCTTATCGGACGCCGATTGGGACCTAATATTTATGCATACTCATAAATGCTCCCTCAATGTCTCGACTCAGGGAAAAACGGATATAAACTTGCTTCGAGATGGTACTGAACTCCGTTGAGAATCTCTCGTTTTAATCCTTCCGTCCCCAACAGCTGTTGGAGATGTGGAACCTCAGATGGATCCTTTCTCCACATTTGGTGGTCTTGTGTCCCGATATCCAACCATTTTGGCAGGAGGTCCCCCGGCTTGTAGTGTCTGTGACCACCTTGTCCCTAGCTTTCTCTCCAGAGCAGTTTCTTCTCCATCACTCCTCTCTGCCCAGGGGACAATACCTCAAATCTTTAGCAATGCATATGGTCAACGCAGCCAGACTCTGTCTTCCCACTCTTTGGGGCTCCACCCGCCCTCCCTCCATACGCGATTGGCTGATCCGTGTGGGTAAAATTGCGGAAATGGAAGAACTGATTGCGACCGCACTCGATTCCCCCACTAAATTCTCCCATGCTTGGGCCTGCTGGAATCACTTTAAAACTACTTCTACGTACCGGTCCTTTATGAACCGTCCAACCAACACGCCTGATTGATTACTAATCTCCATTGTATGTTACTACACACTCTAGATCATACGGTAGGCGACTTCCCCACTTTCAGGGCTCTATCCCCACCTACCGGCTCCGGTTAATAGACTTTTGCTCAAATCCACCCATAAAAGACCCTTGGTGTTGACGACAATACAAACCCAGCCCCCCCCCCCCCTTCACCCCCTTATCTTTTTATCTTTTCTTGTTCTCCTTTTCTTTCTTCTTACCTTCTTGTTACACACCCAGTTAACCACTGGGTTCCTCTTTAGAGAACATTAGGCATGCCATTGTCATATTTACCTTGTTTACATTAGCGACCCTCACGACAATCTAAGCTTACTTACAGGTACCATCACTCCAGTAAAACACTAGCTTCATCCTCAACGGTTGTGCTGCATTTACCCTGCCTCCTTCTGCGGCGCTATAATGAGAATTACATACTAAGAAGGTCCGATGCGATAACATTCCCATGCGCACTACTAGTCTGCCTGAGTATTACAGACTTACCCCGTTGTGGACTGGCACATACCATGCTCCATATGTGGTTCTTTGTAAGAATATTCCTACTTTCTCCCGACATGCACTGCCAAATGTTGCATATGACCATCATTTGCTTTTCTTTTGTATTATTATGCACTTTCTCAATAAACGATTTTTTTTTTTGGTAAAAAAAAAAAATAATAAGTAAGATGATGGTGCCTATTCAGGCAATCCTGGCAATATACTGTATGTATATATAACATCTGATGTATAATTATAGCTTTCGTTTAATTTGTTTCTGAATATAGATATATCTGTATGTCCTAGATACAAAACATGCTACTTAATATACTTGGTGCATGTACACTGAAGAGATACAGCAGTCTGAATGTATTATCTGAAATCAGCAAATATGGATTGTGGTTTTCTCACTTAATTTGCAATCTGTTGGTAATGTTTCTGTTCTAGTTCAATATGTTTAGAGGAAAAAGTTCAATACATTCACAGTCATGATCATTCACACTTTTAAGAAAAATCTGCAATACATATTTTATCTCAATATAGCATTGATTTTAAGGACTCGTATACAGGTATACATGCTCTTTGTATCACAGAAGCAATACATGATTTAGTGCAGGTCTATAAAGGAACTTGGCAACAGCAATTTTAAAAATTACCATAAAATATAAATCCCCTTATATATAAAACTGAAGATCCTTAAAGTTACCAAGGTCTTATAAATATCTTGTCCTCTTGTTATATTCAAAATCAGTGTTGGACTGGGATACCTTGAAAAAATATGCTCTTGAATCAGCATGTAATGTGAAACTAGTTGTAGCATACTCAAAGTGGATGCATCATACTTGGTAGCAGATCTGCTTTAAGACATTGGCTGAAAAATTCACTCAAATCCATATTTTTTTTTCTCCAAATAAATACAGGGTTGAGGGTGCGTGGCCTGAGTCGACCGCGTGAACCTCTGTGACTCTGCTGGTATATTTCTCCTGCATCCTGCGCTCATCATTACCTATAAAAACCATGAGGAAGCCGCCGCCTTGGAATCCCAACATGGTATCCAACCTCCACCCTTGTGTGAGATGCGTGAGAATCCGGAAATCAGTCTTAAGAGCCTGTAAGTAGAGCGGACAAGACCTCTCGCCCCCCAGACAAAGAACCACCATAGGACATGCTCTTCTATGCACACAAGCTAGCAGGCTCACACGGTCAGGATGCTCATGGGGATTTAGATAGTACTTTTCCTGCTGCACAAGCCCTGCCATTACCGAGCGAGAACCTGCATGACCCAGACCTTGGCACTGCCATGAAGCAGGAGGCTCAGGGAGCTGTTAATACTGATGATCCTGACAAGGATACTTCTCAGTCCATTCTAAATGAAATTCTCAAAGCTGTGCGTAAACTGCAGTGCCTTTGTACACACAGCACAGGACCAGCTGGAAGGCCTAAAACTGGAAGTCTTATTGCTGCAGCCAGACTTGAAAAAGATTCACAAATGCACCACGTCGGTAGAAATTTGAGTCAGCGACCCAAACTTCTGCCATTAATTTCAGACTCCCGCTCCACCTCTCAACTTGCCGAAGCCAACAATATGCATAATGAGGATTTTGAAAATTGCTTACACCATAATAAAGTGTGCATTGTGGGCATCCCAGAGCACATGAAAGCCCAGTGGATTTCATAAAGCAGTGGCTACTACAGCTGTTTGGCAAGAATGCTTTTACACCACCTATTGCAGTCAAATGGGCACACGGAAGCCCAACCCACCCACTACAACCCAGTCTCCCTCTGCGACCACTTCTGGCCAGACTGCTCAACTACAGAGACCGAGACATCATTTACTGCCTAGCCAAAGAGCTCCAAGATATCCACTGCAATGGGGTGAAAGTGTCTTTCTACCCTGATAGCTCTGTGGAGGTACAGGGCAAGTACACCAAGTTCTATGAAGCTGAAAATTGGCTTCAGCGGCTGCAACTCACTTAGGTCATGCTGTTCCTGGCCCCACTGCATGTTACAGCATTCGGTCAGACCCATTTCTTTGAAACAGCCCCTGACGCGTTCTCCTGGTTGGATACCAAAGAGCCATCTCTACACTCATGGCATTCTAGGTCAGAAGAAGTCTGATGTCTTATCTATTTGCCATCTTTCCAGCTTTCTCACTGTTCCCGAGAATCTACTGATCCTGATTCTGCTTGCCAGTGACCCCTCCCACATATGTATATTTTTGACTGGCTCCAGCTCATTGTACCCCAAGCAATGCTGGGTGGAGTGCATTGTTTCTTTTCTGCTTTGCAGAGACTGTTCTGTTTATTAGATAGACTGAACGTTTTGCTGTTCAATGACACTTTATAGTTCAGCTACCATTGTGTGCCTCTACCATTTTTATTTCCTCCTTGGTGTTCCAGTAACTGTTGACAATGCCTGCACGTGGTATCAAGTAACAGGCACTCACTTCAATGTCCTCCGGTGGTACTCCGACACACACTATCCTTTTGTCCTTTCCTGGGTGATGCCTACCCATTGCAATTCTGCTTATGACTGTGCTCATGTCCTATACTAAGACTTCCCCATGACAGAGGTCCCAATTTTTTCCTGGAATGTAAGAGGGTTGCATGATCCTTTGAAATGAAATATGGTTAATTCTGTACTTAGTAAGTACCACCCTGCAATTATCTGCCTGCAAGAGACACATCACACCTAAGAAGCTCTTAGCTGTATGGGTTATAGTTGGGTAGGATATGCCTGGCACTTGGTTTATGCCTCCTACTCCTGTGGGATTAGAATGCTGGTACATCACCAAATTGATTTTGGAGGTACTGGCACAGGAGGTGGATAGTGATAGCAGATATACAGTTTCTTCCTTCATTGTAGGATACTTAAACTTGTTTGCATTTTGCCAATTGTGTATATTCCACCTCCATTCTCCACAGTGATTCTTAGACTCCTAGTTCAGATTCTGCTTGGCAAACCTTATGTGCCTTTATTGGCTATGAGGGATTTTAATGGTTATTACTAGAGATGAGCGAAGTATTCAAAAATTCGATTCGACTGATTCGGCGAATTCGTGGAAAAATTTTGATTCGAGTCGAATATATTCGCTGCGAATTTAACTTATAAAAGGGTGTTTCTAGGCTTCAGAGAGCCTTTATATTAGTGCAGAACACTGTACCTTTAATTTAAATGCCCTTGGAGTCTGCTGGGGAAGAGAAATAATACTGACAGTCAGTATGACATGCAGATGAGTGCCGTCGATCTTAGAATCACCGCACACTTCACTCATTTGGGCAGTCACGGGGCCAAAACCAGAGTGTGGAGCCACAGTGTGGCGGTGGACACAGCAGCAATGGGAGGCCATACAGCACCCTATGACAAAAATGGAAACCACCAGCAGTGTGAGGAGACCTGAAAGTGGCACATGGCAGAGTGTGGCGATGGAGACAGCAGCAATGGGAGGGCCGTACAGGGACCCATGACACACTCTGGACCTGGCAGCAGCATGAGGAGGCGGTACAGGGGCCCATGACAGATTACGGGCCTGGCAGCAGCATGAGGAGTTGGTACGGGGGCCCATGACACACTCTGGACCTGGCAGCAGCAGCATGAGGAGGGCGGTACAGGGGCACATGACAGATTACGAGCCTGGGCAGCAGCAACTTGGACAGGAGGACGTTCAGCTTCTGCACCGTCGGGTACGTGCTCGCAAACTGTTGTCTCTTGGAAACAAATTCCAAGAAAGACTGCTGACAGAATCCGTGAAGAGGGAGTAGCAGGAGAAGGACCATCTGAACGAGCGGAATATGCCAACAAGCGACAACAGGGGCCCATGACAGATTACGGGCCTGGCAGCAGCATGAGGAGTCGGTACGGGGGCCCAAGGCAGATTAGGGGCCTGGCAGCAGCTATGGGAGGCCCGTAATCTGCCAGCACCCTATGACAAAAAATGGAACACCCCAGCAGTGTGAGGAGACCTGAAAGTGGCACATGGCAGAGTGTGGCGATGGAGACAGCAGCAATGGGAGGCCGTACAGGGACCCATGAGAGACTCTGGACCTGGCAGCAGCATGAGGAGGCGGTATAGGGGCCCATGGCAGATTAGGGGCCTGGCAGCAGCTATGGGAGGCCCGTAATCTGCCAGCACCCTATGACAAAAAATGGAACACACCAGCAGTGTGAGGAGACCTGAAAGTGGCACATGGCAGAGTGTGGCGATGGAGACAGCAGCAATGGGAGGCCGTACAGGGACCCATGAGAGACTCTGGACTTGGCAGCAGCATGAGGAGGCGGTATAGGGGCCCATGGCAGATTAGGGGCCTGGCAGCAGCTATGGGAGGCCCGTAATCTGCCAGCACCCTATGACAAAAAATGGAACACACCAGCAGTGTGAGGAGACCTGAAAGTGGCACATGGCAGGGGCATGATTCATGGCGGATTTAGTCAGTTGTGTCAGGAACTGGTGGTTTGAAATCCAGACTAATCCACGCCTGATTCATTTTCACAAACGTGAGTCTCTCCACACTTTGGGTGGACAGTCGTGTCCTCCGCGGAGTTACAATACCTCCTGCCGCACTAAACACGCGCTCCGATGCCACGCTACTGGCCGGGCATGACAGCCTTTCAAGGGCAAATTCAGCTAGTTGGGGCCAAAGGTCAAGTTTCGTTGCCCAGTAGTCAAGGGGATTGTCTACCCTCGGTTGGCAGGGTGCTGTCCAAGTAGGCCTAAGCCTGTTGTTTGAGGTCCTGCTCCAGGTCCACCTGATGCTGCTGCTGCGGCTGGTTAGTAGTTTCCTCACTGCGCTGGTGAAGAAAGCTACTCATCATCGACTGCAGACTGAGGCAGCCGCTGCTGGTGGAGCTGCCACTGCTCCTACCACCCCCACCCCTCCCCTGCTGCCATGGCAGCGGAACGCGAGCGCACAGGGCCCACAGTGTCTGAGGATGGACGTTGGCGCAGAAAGGCAGAGACCAGCTGACTACATAGGTGGGTTTTTATAGTACGTTATTTTGGCCTCCTCTCAGCAGGTGTGAAAAAAGGCCACCATTTTTGAACGGTAGCGAGGGTCCAACAAGGTGGACAGCCAAAAGTCATCCCTCTGTCTGATGGTTATTATTCGGCTGTTGCTACGCAAGCAAGCGAGCATGCTATGGGCCATTTGTGCCAAGGAATGCGAGGGACTCCCTGCCTCCATCTCTCCACAGCATACTGCCACGGTGCGTCTGGGTCCTCTGTCTCCTCCTCCTCTACCAGATGCTCCTGCTCCTCCACTCCTGTCCGCTGAGTGGAAAAACCACCCATTTCACTCAATAATTCCTGAGCACCAATGTCCTCCTCTACCTCCTCCTCTTCTTCCTGTCCTGCCCCCACAGGGGTCATGTGGCGTTGATCTGTGCGCCACATCTACCGCACCCTGACCAGCCATTGTTAACAGCATTTGTTCCAGGACGTGCAACAGAGGAATGACGTCGTTCATCCCATAGTCCTGCCGACTCACGAATAGCGTGGCCTCCTCAAAGGGACTGAGCAAGCGCAGGTGTCACGCATGAGCTGCCAATGGCTGACATCTAGGTTACACAGGGAGTACCTTTATCCGCTTTTAACATCAGGAAATCGGTGATGGCCTTTCGCTGTTCGTAAAGGCGGTCTAACATATGTAGGGTTGAATTCCACCTTGTTGCAACGTCACAGCATGAGGAGTCGGTACGGGGGCCCATGGCAGATTACGGGCCTGGCAGCAGCAATGGGAGGCCCCGTAATCTGCCAGCACCCTATGACAAAAAATGTAACACACCAGCAGTGTGAGGAGATCTGAAAGTGGCACATGGCAGAGTGTGGCGATGGAGACAGCAGCAATGGGAGGCCGTACAGGGACCCATGAGAGACTCTGGACCTGGCAGCAGCATGAGGAGGCGGTATAGGGGCCCATGGCAGATTAGGGGCCTGGCAGCAGCTATGGGAGGCCCGTAATCTGCCAGCACCCTATGACAAAAAATGGAACACACCAGCAGTGTGAGGAGACCTGAAAGTGGCACATGGAAGAGTGTGGCGATGGAGACAGCAGCAATGGGACGCCGTACAGGGACCCATGAGAGACTCTGGACTTGGCAGCAGCATGAGGAGGCGGTATAGGGGCCCATGGCAGATTAGGGGCCTGGCAGCAGCTATAGGAGGCCCGTAATCTGCCAGCACCCCTATGACAAAAAAATTGAACACACCAGCAGTGTGAGGAGACCTGAAAGTGGCACATGGCATGAGACACTGTGTGGACCTGGCAGCAGCATGAGGAGGCGGTACAGGGGCCCATGGCAGATTAGGGGCCTGGCAGCAGCTATGGGAGGCCCGTAATCTGCCAGCACCCTATGACAAAAAATTGAACACACCAGCAGTGTGAGGAGACCTGAAAGTGGCACATGGCAGAGTGTGGCGATGGAGACAGCAGCAATGGGACGCCGTACAGGGACCCATGAGAGACTCTGGACCTGGCAGCAGCATGAGGAGGCGGTACAGGGGCCCATGGCAGATTAGGGGCCTGGCAGCAGCTATGGGAGGCCGTAATCTGCCAGCACCCTATAACAAAAAATTGAACACACCAGCAGTGTGAGGAGACCTGAAAGTGGCACATGGCAGAGTGTGGCGATGGAGACAGCAGCAATGGGACGCCGTACAGGGACCCATGAGAGACTCTGGACCTGGCAGCAGCATGAGGAGGTGGTATAGGGGCCCATGGCAGATTATGGTCCTGGCAGCAGCTATGGGAGGCCCGTAATCTGCCAGCACCCTATGACAAAAAATGGAACACACCAGCAGTGTGAGGAGACCTGAAAGTGGCACATGGCATGAGACACTGTGGACCTGGCAGCAGCATGAGGAGGCGGTATAGGGGCCCATGGCAGATTAGGGGCCTGGCAGCAGCTATGGGAGGCCCGTAATCTGCCAGCACCCTATGACAAAAAATGGAACACACCAGCAGTGTGAGGAGACCTGAAAGTGGCACATGTCAGAGTGTGGCGATGGAGACAGCAGCAATGGGACGCCGATTTTACAGGGACCCATGAGAGACTCTGGACTTGGCAGCAGCATGAGGAGGCGGTAAGGGGCCCATGGCACCCTATGACAAAAAATTGAACACACCAGCAGTGTGAGGAGACCTGAAAGTGGCACAACGTGAGTCTCTCCACACTTTGGGTGGACAGTCGTGTCCTCCGCGGAGTTACAATACCTCCTGCCGCACTAAACACGCGCTCCGATGCCACGCTACTGGCCGGGCATGACAGCCTTTCAAGGGCAAATTCAGCTAGTTGGGGCCAAAGGTCAAGTTTCGTTGCCCAGTAGTCAAGGGGATTGTCTACCTCGGTTGACAGGGTGCTGTCCAAGTAGGCCTAAGCCTGTTGTTTGAGGTCCTGCTCCAGGTCCACCTGATGCTGCTGCTGCTGCGGCTGGTTACTAGTTTCCTCACTGCGCTGGTGAAGAAAGCTACTCATCATCGACTGCAGACTGAGGCAGCCGCTGCTGGTGGAGCTACCACTGCTCCTACCACCCCACCCCTCCCCTGCTGCCATGGCAGCGGAACGCGAGCGCACAGGGCCCACAGTGTCTGAGGATGGACGTTGGCGCACAAAGGCAGAGACCAACTGACTACATAGGTGGTTTTTATAGTACGTTATTTTGGCCTCCCTCTCAGCAGGTGTGAAAAAGGCCACCATTTTTTGAACGGTAGCGAGGGTCCAACAAGGTGGACAGCCAAAAGTCATCCCTCTGTCTGATGGTTATTATTCGGCTGTTTGCTACGCAAGCAAGCGAGCATGCTATGGGCCATTTGTGCCAAGGAATGCGAGGGACTCCCTGCCTCCATCTCCACAGCATACTGCCACGGTGCGTCTGGGTCCTCTGTCTCCTCCTCCTCTACCAGATGCTCCTGCTCCTCCACTCCTGTCCGCTGAGTGGAAAAACCACCCATTTCACTCAATAATTCCTGAGCACAAATGTCCTCCTCTACCTCCTCCTCTTCTTCCTGTCCTGCCCCCACAGGGGTCATGTGGCATTGAGATCTGTGTGCCACGTCTACGCGCACCCTGACCAGCCATTGTTAACAGCATTTGTTCCAGGACGTGCAACAAAGGAATGACGTCGTTCATCCCATAGTCCTGCCGACTCACGAATAGCGTGGCCTCCTCAAAGGGCCTGAGCAAGCGGCAGGTGTCACGCATGAGCTGCCAATGGCTGACATCGAAGTTACACAGGGGAGTACCTTTATCCGCTTGTAACATCAGGAAATCGGTGATGGCCTTTCGCTGTTCGTAAAGGCGGTCTAACATGTGTAGGGTTGAATTCCACCTTGTTGCAACGTCGCAGATCAGGCGATGCTGTGGAATTCCGTTCTGCCGCTGCAGCTCAAGGAGGGTGTGTGCTTTGCGGTGTAGGAATGGCTGAAATGCATGCAAAGTTTACGTGACATTTTAAGGATGTCTTGCAGTGGGATGGTGGATTTTAGGACCGCTTGACAACCAGATTGAAAACACGTGAGCCATGCATGGCGCATGGCACAACCTTCCTTGACGCAGAGCAGACACCATGTTCTTTCCGTTGTCGGTCAACATGGTTCCGATTTTCAGTTTGCGCGGAGACAGCCATCTGTCGATTTCTCTGTTCATTACACTCAGAAGTTCCTCCCCTGTGTGACTACGTTCGCCAAGGCATACCAGGTGCAGCACAGCGTGACACACCGTTGCGCCCTGCACATGTGATATGCCGGTCGGGTAATGGGACTTGGCACGGGGGTGGCGGCTGAGGACACGGAAGGAAGAAGAGGTGGTAGAGGCGGACATCTTTTGTGGACCAAGGACGTGCAAACGTGGAGGCAAAAGCGGCGTGACCTGTCCAAGTTGCTGGTGCGGCTGTGACGGCACCACGTTCACCCAGTGGGCCGTAAATGACATGTACTGTCCCTGACCGTAGTTACAGCTCCACACGTCGGCGCTGCCGTGCACTTTGGCAGAGACCGACATGCTCAAAGACTGGCCCACCATCTCTTCTACATGTGAATGCAGGGCTGGCACTGCCTTTTTGGCGAAGAAATAACGGCTTGGCACTCTCCACCGCGGCGCGGCACAAGCCATCATTTCTCGGAAAGGTGCTGAGTCCCACTTGGAAAGGGAGGGACTGCAGCACCAGCAACTTGGACAGGAGGACGTTCAGCT